GGAAAGCAAAATTTGGTACCCTATGAACAAGAATTTTCTGGTACGGAAGAAATTATTGTGAGAGCAATGATCAGCCAACTACCAGAGGAAACACTCCACGAAAAACTACCCCGTTACCTCACAAAATAGTTCAAACGAATAAAGAATGTCTGCAATGGAATCGGGAAATCAATGAGTGAATGTTTCAAATAGTTCCGTAATTTATAGAATTACGTATGTGTATTCTGGTGTGTGCCCTTTGTTTTGTTCTGTTATTGGTCGCTAATGACCTAACAGTTCATGTGTGTCATTCTTTAAATAAGGCAAATAAAGAAAAAGAATAATATACAATTATAAAAACAAACATTTTGAAATCACAGAAAGACACTCCAATTCTACTTATATAGATTTGAAATATAATGTAATTTAATGCATTCAATTTTGGAAAAAATACTTGTTGGAATTTTATGGTTCTATTGCGAAAAATTGGTGGCCGTGCGACGTAATAACGCTTTTAGAGTTTCAATTGAATCTAATACGAGTAATCAGAATGTGCAAACTTATTGAGAACACAGAGTTGCCAGTGAGAAACTGGAAACCAATGTTATATAAATAATTGTGATAAAATTCCTTTTTTATTTTCGTATTATGAAAAAATCATATATAGTGACTTCAGCACTCCAATATTTTCAATTTTAGGCTCTCATGATTCATTACGTCCTACACCCCTAATCTAGAAAGTTCTAGCAGCTTCAGTGGTCGTCACACAGATATCTGTGAATCACTCGCGAGTTAGTAGTGTATTTTATTAGTTAACTTTTCTCTCGTAAACAAATGTAATAACTTGGGTAAATGTAGTGTTATGAACTTAATGACGTTAGTAGTTACTCCAAAATGAGTTGTTGCTACTGTATCTTATCATTCCGTCGCACCATGTGAGTATTTGATCCAGTAAATTTTATAAATATTAAGTTATTTGATTTGATTTTCGTGTCTAAAGAACACGTGCTTACCAGCCACCTGAACACTTTGGTCTCCTCCATTCACAAGTGATCAATCACCAACTTCTTTAAATTGAACTGTTCATTGTTACTTTCTGGTCTATTGCGTACTTGCATAGTAAAGAAAAAATGTAATGCTGCAGCGAAAAGTGATGAATTTTAAACAGGAAAAGTTGTATTTTGAATCCCTAGAACCGAAAAATTGGATTATACTTGTAACTATGTACGAGGTAAAATACGTCCTCTAATACAATGTGCAGCCAGAATTCACATTTTATGGGTCCTTGATACCAAAAAAATAGTTTACGGCAAAATATTATCTGTATGTCAGTCTGTGCACACTAGTGCCTAAAACGTTTAGATGATTTACTCGAAAACTGTTAAAACCCGAATGATATGGCCTGATTTGAGGTCTTGGGATTTTGAAACGGGCATTTTGATTAGGGGGATAAAACCTAAAGATTTTCAAAATTTCCAAAAATGGCTCCAAATTTTTTAATGATTTTGATTTTCAAGTACAGTAAATCGAAAATATACAAATGATGCAAGTCTGAATTTTGTTGAACTCTGAATTTTCGTAAATTGTATAAGTTGAATTTTTTCAGCGTCATCTGATATTTTTTAATTCAAATCTTTTCTTCAAAATTAGATCTTTAAAGAAAATTGTACTAAATATTTTTTTCCAAATTTGAGTATTGTGCGTGAAATAAAAGCAATTTTTAAAATATTTTCTCAAGTATGGCCCCCAATTGAATTTTTTTACGAATCGGCTCTTATAAAATGGGGGGTATTTTTTGAGAACATTTTCAAAAATGTCGTTGTGATTTCGTCTCAAGTGCCCCCAAAATCAAAACATTAATGAATTGAGCATATAGTTAGTACTCACTTGGTACGAATAATGTGGGAGAGTACAATTATAACTGTCAGAACGGTCGAAGCAAACACCCAACATAGTTTTATTTGACAAAATGACAAAAACAAATATGATTATTGATGTTGCAATTCCTACGGGTGACAACTTCGGGCCAAAAGTCGCTAAAAAACACGACAGAATTCATTACTTATCAAACGTTACATTTGATAAGTACAAGAATTTCAAAAACATTATCAAGAATCCCTCATTCTTATTGTGTACTGTTCTTTTTGTAGATCCCTACCCTTGCATGAATGGCCATTATCCTTTATTAAATCTTAATATAGAATTCTTAATTTTCCCAAAACTTGTTCTTACGACAATACATAATTTAATATGACTCTCTTTTGTCACTTTCCTTTCGTGTGGCCTCGGCCCTCTTGAACGTCATCCAGAATCGTTCCAAGTTTCATTTTGTTGAATCTGATCCAGACCAATGACATCTACTTCCTCCACACAAGCGATTATAATTCATGTCTATTTGGAACTTTTACCTACTAGTTACTGGTTTATAAAGCATTACCAACTCGTAAACACGTCTTTGCATCCGAATACAACCGCGTCACATTATGTGTACCCGCCCCTCACCACGTCAAAATATTGTCTGAGTCCGCACCTCGCCGTATCGAAAATTCTTCTCCCGGTTTGTTTGTCTTACGTGCTCTTCATCAGTTTCCTTCCCTGCGCGAGATTGTACATACTAAATATGTTTCTTCGTCCTAGTGCGCAGGCCATTCTCTTTCTCGAACATATTCTATTTTGTGATTGGTCACTGTCACTCTATCACTTTATTTATTTATTCTTTGGTTATCGATTCTTAATAATTGTCCTAATTTACTTTCTCACTCACATAAATTGATCATGTGTTCTTTCACAGTTTTATTTACAAATATATTCTCGATTTTCTCCACTATCAATTATACCGCCATTCCCTTATATTCTTATTTATTATTATTCGATCATTTTTCTTCTCTTCTGTCCCCCATTGTTGCTGTCGTCCTGTTTATATATTTATCTGTATTTATTGTTTCTATTTACACACCCTTGTGATAACTTATCACCATGGCAAAGTCCACAGCAGCCAGCTACTAGAATTATTTTCAAGGCAGCATTTGAATCCGGCTTCTTGAAGTTAGGTAGCAAAGTTGTCTAAAAGTTGCCACCCTCAGGACGCGAATCCTATGACCTCACGGTCACCAATGCTTCAAAGACAACGGGTTTGGCATAAAATCTGACATGAGAAACTATTTTATTAAATTTAATGGATAAAAAATTATTGCGCTTCTTAAATCTGTGTATGAATCACCGACTGTTCTAAGTGCCTTGTTTTTAACACGTTTTGCTTAGAAGTGGAAATACCTCATCGTTTCGTATCCTTTCGGATTTTCCTCTTGCTTATCTGCACGGAGCAGACGTTCAGCCAACGCGGAAGCTGAGAAAGAAGTCGACGACAAATAGAGGAAAAGTAGCGAATAGAAACGTTCGGGGCAACTTAAAACTCTTTTCAATTTGATGAAAATGCGACCTGGAAGAAAAGGCATCGTGCCGGTGTAGATGTCTCAGGGCATCAACCGACGTCACTTCAGTGCCTATGACCGGGAAGGTTTAGGGCTCGATACCCAACGACGGCAAGATATTCGACTCTAGTAGATAGCTAGGTAGAATATGGCCGCTGCCTCGAGGAGAATTCTAGGAGGTTGCTCTGATCGGTGTTTTCAGAACCAGGCGAATGCCGGAACAGAACCCAAACAAACGAGCCACAGACCGCAGGAGATTTTTCCTTCCGCTTCCTTGTCATATCCTCACATCTTACTTACATACACTTAAACTTATGTGCACTACACTACCAAATGTTGGGAGACCAGTCGGGAAGTTAGAGCTTTTCCCGATCCGGCGGTGCCCCGGTGGTGAGAGATACCTGGTTGAGGAAAACGCAGCAAGCTGACATATAGGTCGGCGTCGGATCTACCCCACCGGCGGAAGAAGATTATCGCCATCTTCCGTGTTAAAACCTTCACTATACTTACGAGTGTAGTAACCACTGCCGTTGACGCTCTCGGAAACAGGAAATAATCAACGAATCAATCTAAAGGCACGGTGCAAGTGAGTAAATGACTATTTTACGTGGCCAAACTTTGAGTCAACTAACTGGAAAAACGCTTCTCTGCGTTTTTTTTCGCAATACAGAAAAACCCTCTACATTGAATAGGATCTCGCAAGATTTACTTTTAGGAAAAAATTTCTTCTAGTCGATTCACAATTTCGTAATACAACCACCTTAAGGTAGTGTCATGTACCACCTCAGCGATGGTATTTGGTTAAGGAACGGACTGTTAACAATCGGTAAACGAACCACAGTACAGTGTAATGCAGTGAAGTGAAGTGGCGATCGGGGAAGACTCGTGCGGTAAAATTATTATTTATTTCTAAAGTATTTTTGGGCAGATCAAATTTAATTTACCTTAAGGTGAATGAAAAATTAAGATATTCCGTCTACAAGTTTCTTCTCTTAATTGCAGAATTTATAATAAATCTATGTACTTGTGATCCGTAGCGATCAGGGAGAAGTCTCAGCTTAGGCAAGTAATTTTTTATAACTATTTATAGACGTAGACGACAAAATACATTAACATACTTGAGTGGTCTTCAATTCTTTAACCAGCGAGCAGCACTACACTACACACAACATATATAACACAAATAGATGAAAATTTAACATAATTAGACACATAAGCAGGCACATTTAGTTTTAGTCTCTGGTCAAGCACAATAACAGAACCTCGTTTCATAAAGAATTCCCACAGCCAAAGCCCGGTCGTTAACAACTTTTGTTAATATTTTATATAAATTTATGTTACTTAAACAGTATTCTAAAATTGCATATCTGGAAATTTAATTCTTTTTGGATGTTCTCACCCCATAGAATGGGTGATCAGAAAGCACTCTACTCACTGTGTAGAATGGGTAGTCAATATATTATGAACCCGTTTCATCCGGCAGGTAGGAACTGCCTGGTGTTTGTAAAAGTTTGTAAAAGCATTTTATTTACGGTCGTATAACAACGAGAGATTCTAGGTACCGGTAAGTGTGCATGACGTTGGGCTCTTATGAAGTCATCTGGAAAACGTTTCGTCACCATGCGTAATAGTGTTTTGCTCACAGTGCCGTCACAGTGCACAAAAGTCGTGTTGCTCAGTATCTTCCAACCTGTTCAAAGCAAAAACACATGTTAATGGCACAAATCTTTAATCTCAACTTACGAAAATAGTTGACTTATTGCAGTAGTAATGAAAATTGATTATACAATTTGTACAATTATTCCCCACATTGACATCCGACAAATTAATATTGCTACATTGAGTTGATTCTTCGGTATTTTCCTATACTATATTTGACGTCAAATTACATTGCATTTCGTCTGGAAAATCCATCACCATTGTACAAGGGATAGTCAGAAAGTAATGCCTCCTGTTTTTTCTATTTAAATAAAGTGAGTTAAGTGAAAATTTTGAAATTGACACTATTCCTCAAACCTTCTATAATCCACCGTATTAGTAACTTTCTGCGTCAACATGTGGCAGCACAGCAGTCGTTTGAAAAATGGCCGATATCGTTGTTCGTAAGAGACCGCATTGTGTCACTGAATTCTTGAATGCAGAAAGTGAAATGACCATTAGCATTCAAAAAAGACTGAAAAATGTGTTGGGTATGTAACAGTGGATTCCAGCACTGCCCGACGAAGTGTTCCTCTTCGTAACGAAGTTGAAGGGCAAATAGCGTTGGCTGACGAAAAGTAAGTAAAAGACCGCTGGGTGATTGCATACAAAGTAAGGGAGAAATGAGAATTTATCTGCCACATTTCACTTACGGTCATAATAACAGTAATAATAATAATAATAATAATAATAATAATAATAATTAATAATTAATAAAATAATAATAAATAATAATAAATAATATAATAATAAGTTGCCGGCTTGCCGTCGTCTGCGCCGAGGAGCGATGCAGGTTCGAGTCGCAGGCAGACTGGTCGTATTTGTTGAATGTCCCTTCACCCCTCCATCATCATGCTATCATCTCATAATAAGCACACTTTCAACCTAAAACCTTAGTTGTACTAGCAGCGTGACTGCGCTAAAAACTGAACCTGGAAAATTACACACATTTATCATGTAGCGTAGTCACTAATGTCCTCTATTGCCAATGTAATAATAATAATAATATATAATTATTATTTTATTTATTGTTATTATTAGGGCTCAGGTGAGGAACTGTGATGATGTTTTTTACTACTTACTACTAGAATTATTATTATTATTTTTCTTGTATATTTTAGATAAAATTATGTTTGAGTGGGTTTAGAAATGTGTTATTTTAATGCAGTACACTTTTCATCATTGTTGAGAAGGCGACTTCCTGCTCTTGACCACTTAGCAACAGTTCTCTTCCTCGCCTTCAGGAGATCCGTTAGCTTATGTACCTACATGAACTTATTTCTATTCGGAACCTTTGTATTCCACATTCCCGTCAGATCCTCCTTCACAAGTGAAGTACTCCTCTTACAACATATCAGAAGAACATGGATTTCAGGAGGCATTTTAAAAGGTGGCAATAAAACATGAGAGGTCAATTTCCACAGGATTTTTTTTAAATTTACAGTTGTAGTGTTGTTTTTTTTTCATTGAAGGGTTAAAATTGAATTAATTCAAAAATGTCTTATATGCAGTGTCGAGAAGGACCCAACGCGCATGAGACTGGATGGAGGCGAGTTCGAATACAAGTTGGCAGGCCTGGCGAGCGCACGTCTCCGAGCGGAGCGAGAGCATCGGCCGGAGTTGGATCTTCAGTTCTCCGTCTACTCCAACATGCAGGGAGCCAACCCATTCGACGATCTGGTTATTCACTTAAAGTGGGTCGAAGGAAAGAAGGAACGTAGAATGAACTACTTTGTTCAGTTGAAACATTCAGAAAGATACGATAAAGTTGTGACTAGAAACGATCTTACATCCAAACGATGCTCTAAAAGGACGAAAAACTTCAATCTTAGAAAATACTTTGAAGGTTACCAGTCTATAATACAAAACGCCAAGTCTTCAACTGAGGTTGATCATAACCAACGTGTATTGAGTGAATGGATAAGAGAAGAATGTAGGTTTGTTCTTTTTACAACCAGAAACCTTATTCAGCTTAATTGTCATGATGCAGAAACTACATTACCAGATTTTCCATTTCATCATGTTTTTAGCACCGGTCAAGGAGAAATATTTTCATTTGGAGAACATAATCCATTAGTTTGGAATATGTATGAAGGAGAACCTGAATGCCACGTGTTTCGTACGGAGTTCCTACCTCGACTGCTTATTTTTGGTGGTCAAGCTCACGCCTCGCAGCTAGACCAGTTAATTCAAATTGCCTTAACAAACGCTGTAGGTGGCGCAATGCCCCGAGAAGAGCTGTTTCTGTCAAAGTATTTATGTTTCCTGCGCAAATGGTGGGATAGCGCTCATTGCATCTCTGAGTCTTCCAAAGAGTTAGAAAAAATAATACAGTATTTTGTTAATGATAATGCTGAGTTCGTATCACTTCAGTTTCAGCCTCGTTTGTACCAGGAACTAAAGCGTCGGTTAGAAAAACATAACGTAACTCTGAATATAGTGCCTGAAATATCAACCCGCTTGCGCAGCTCCAAAATCAAAAGAGTAATGGACGAGAATTATCCAGATCGTTATCTGATACTAACCGAGTCAACATTCAGGGACTACCCAGAGGGTACTTTGGAATCTGTAGTTAGAAACAGTTGTGAGGAACTCGTGTTAAACGTGGATGATATGGATATTCGTATGCAAAACTTCGTAGCGAGAATCTTGAATGAAAGGAAATGCAAGGTGCGGATTCTGCAGTCGCAATTAAACTCTAAAATTGAAAACTTTATCACCACACACACAGGTCAGTGCGTGCAATTCCTCGACAATTACTGGACTTTGGACCATCTCTCGCACTACGAGCAGAAGCGCCTCCTGGACCGGCTGGTGTTGGTGCAGGGGGAGGAGACGACGCTGGCGCGGCTGGAGGGGGTGTGGCCGTCCCTGCGGCGCGGCGTGGGCGGGGCGACGCTGGACGCGCTGGCGTGCGGTGACGAGGTGTCGCTGGGGGCGCCCATGACCCTCCCCGACCCCTTCTACATCCCACGCACGGTCCAGCACAAGGCGGTGCTCCACAACACCCTCTGGAAGATGCTCAGCCCGGACGACGTGTTTCTGTTGAACGGCTTTGCGGAAGAAGTGCTAAGGGAGCTACGCTTGCCCACCTCGAGCTGGGAGGAGTGGGATTTGCTGGGAGAATCTCCTTCTCGCGTGTTGCGATTGTCGAGAGATCTCTCTGAGTCGAAGGACACGCCGAATAAGAAAAGGATCAAGACGAAATGGAGTGTGTGGACAGATGCAGCCAACACAGATGCTCTAATGTTTTTTGAATCCAATAACGTGCACTGGCTTACGTACGAAGGAGAAGAAATTGTGTGGCTTGAAACACGCGGAAATCATGAAGTACTTCGTAGTTATTTAAAAAACATTGATTCACATTGTAACGTTTCACCCGTTTGCACTCACTATGACGTTGATGATTTCATTGATTGGCGGGGTGTGTTCCTTCTTACTGGAGATCCTGGAATGGGAAAATCAACTTTTCTCTCTCGATTGGCCTACATTGTTAAAAAGAAAAATCCCTTCCATTGGGTTGCTGTACTAAGATTGAATGAAGGTAGGCTCTTAGAAAACATGGGAATAATCAATCAGGAGAGTATTGTTGATTTATTACATAGAGCAAGCAACGTGCGGGTATCATTGGACAACAATTCGACAAAGAACTTTCTAAGAGATAATCTATTGCAGTCTGGAAACATAAGTATTTTTGTAGATGGCGTGGATGATGTTTGTCCCATTCACAAATCCAAACTCCTCAGCGTGCTGAAATTTCTCCTTCAAAAGACCAACTTTCAAAGAGTGTGGATAGCGGGTCGAACAATGCTTGAGGAAGAATTGGGTCGTGCAACCCGCAGTCTTCCATTCACGCTGCGTCCTTTCTCCGCCGAAGATCAAAAGCGCTATCTTCTCGCGTACTGGGGCGGGGACTGCGACGAAACGGACGGCGAAGAATTTCAGTCGACGGTGGATCAGCTGGTGGACGACGTGCGAAGCGCCACCCAGCACAACGGGCGCAGCCTGTGCGACGTGCCGCTCTACTCGCACGTGTTGGCGGTCGCCTACAGAAACGACCACTCCCTCTTACAGAACGTGGCTTCCCCGCAGTCCTCCAATCCCAGACGCAGGAGGATCAATTTACTCACTCTAATAAAGAAGTTCGTCGAAGAAACGAGGAAAGTGTATTGGCAGAAAGTGGACATATCGGTGGGTTTGCACCGCTGGGCGACCAAACTAGAAGTGGAGTTCCAAAGGGAACATCAAATGTGCGCCGCCTTTGTGAGTTTCTGCGGCAGCGATCTCCTCGGAGACTTCATGACCGTCATTGCCAAGGAGGTGGAGGAGCTGTCGGAAGACTGCGAACGCGAGCGCACCGGCATCATCACCAAGTTCGTGGACGGCAAGCCGCAGTTCATTCACAAGGTAATAGTTCAGTAGTCATTGAATAATGGGCATCCTCATTATTAAATAATTATTGCAAATTTAATTTTTGAGGTGTCTAATGTCGACGGCATGCATGCGGACGCTTGTCGGCATGTAAAACAAATTCCAGGAAAGGCACTTAACCTAACCTGACAAAATTAAATACTTTAATAATTTAGCATCAATCATATTTTCGTTTTGAATTACTGAATACGATTGCGGGTATTGTATTTTTCCCTGCGCTATCTGATATTCAAATCAAACTTCAAAATTGGCGCGCTAGCGCTCCTAGGGAAAGCAATGACTAAATACCTTAGGTACCTTGCTCAGAATTTCTCATAAGAAGGCACTAAGGGCTTCTGGAGACTAGCCTTCGCAGTAATCAGTGTACGGCATCAAAAAAAGAAAAAGAAGGCAATAATTTCCCAATCATTAATTATATTACAAATATCTACAGCTTATCGTTATCTGAATCAAAATTGTTATTATAATTTAGGAGAATTCCAGTGGTAGATTCTCTGATCTCTCGTTTACCGTGTTTTTTCTATCACTTTCAGGCAATCCTTAAATAAATGAGCCATAAACCGCGTAGAGTGTTTTCTTCCTCATTCTTGCTCTCTTCCATCTCTCTACATGTTTAAACTAACGTTCACCACATTTCTACGCACGTTGTAAGACTAGTCGAGAGCATATAGCTTGTCCCGACCGGGCAGTGTCCTAGGGGATGAACATTAAGCCGACGTGCAGTTCGGCGCCAGATCTCACGTTCCAGCGAGGGGACCACTACCACCTTCCAGGGTATATCACTTGTAGGAGTCATGACCATAAGTTGATCGGAAGTTGACGTGCCCGGAAACACTAAATATTCACTTTTATTATAACTTAATGAGAGACTCTTTCTGCAACATATCATACCTTCTTACACAATAATCATGGCCGTCGTATCGGTCGGAAATGCTGCCTTCTTATATGACGGACAAGACGCTGGTAAAGTTGAACGGACAATACTATATCTTATATTATTTACTCGTGAAAATTTCATTCCCATACTATGCTCACATTACATGACTAACTATTGATTAACTAACTACACTACCACACTCATAGTAACAGTGCATATTATACGTTGATGGCTGAATATAATACCGCTGATTGTCTCTTGCAAATAGTAGTATACATCAAGCTTTACAAAATACATTTATCTATAATCACAGAAATAATAAATGTTGGCATATAAAGCCTACATAAATTTCAATTAGGATCAAATTATAAAAGAAATTATTTTAAATTCTATAAATTTTATAATTACAGCGGTCTCACACTGCACCAGAATAATGGACCAACGCCACAGTAATTCCAAATTTTTTAAAAAAAGAAGAGAGTATTGTGGAAGCTGTAGAGACAGAGAAAAATTATTTTAAAGTCTTTATTTTTGCATCAAACTTCTTTAATGACTTCTGTAATGTCTCGTTCAAAAAATCGATGAAAAGAAAAATTATATCACCACCACTGAATTTCTTATTATTATGTATAACTCTGAAGTTGACGAAGATTTCAAATTTAGTCCAGCCGTTTCGCTCCAAAGAGTCCCCATTTCATTGCAGAATCCCTTTGAAATTAATTGTAGGCAACCCTTTGTTTTAAATGCACAGAGAAATAACTTACAACCTAAAACTAATAGTAATTGGTGAAATATTTGTGATCTCTTCCTTCAATTTGTAAAACAAAACAGTCGTCATTCACATACAAAATAAAATATTTAATTTTTCCGCCAGTTCAGTTTTAAAACTGTCAAACTTAAAACCGGATTTTTCTCATCATTTCTGGAAACTTTCTTCATCTCTTGCTATCGTACGACAGATCATGTGTGTCTCTCGGAGCATTAACAGTGGCACAAAGGTTGATTGGAGACTATGGTAAGGAAAGCTCTCTTCAGTTTTGGTTCCTTTCTAGGAAGAATAACTGGTTCTCCACCGACTTCAAGCAACACACTCTTTCTAATTACAAATTTGGCTTCATATGTTTTTACGCAGAACTCTGAATTTTCTCTTATTTATACGAATCAAGACGAATTCTTAAACTTAACACATTTATCTTGCTGTGATTTCCTTTTGGAAATACTTGAAATACTGAAATGCCTACATACATTGTAGTAGATTTACATCTCGGTACGCAACATCAGCAACCCATAATTTACCGTTACTATTTTGTTCGTTTTTTATAATAACAGAAAATAAGCGCCTTAATCACGATAAAGAACTTGCAACCACTTCGAACCTGTAGAACAATCAAAAACATCCACCGAAAGCCGGCACGTATTGTCCAGTATCCATACTTGCATGAAGGTCTGAGTATTGTACATGATGGAAATAGATGAGTGAGCTTTTGCGCATTATATCCGACTTCAGCCAATGAGCTTCAGGCTCCAGTTTGCGACACAATATTGGCGGGAATTTTAAATGCATTCTGATACCAAAATTATCACCTTGTCATGGAATGTCATGGAAACAGTTGTATGAAGAATTTCTTTTAAAAGTTGTATTTTGTACGTCTTCATCGCGTTATTTTCGGTTGGTCACCGTTGAAAATTGTCACTTTATGACATTTTGAAAATGTTTGGCAACATTTTCCTTTGCCGCATGGCGACCAGCGTGTGGTCTGGCTCTTCAAACGAAGTTCCCATGCTGTGGTCACGTGGTTCGTGACGTAATCTGGTGCCGCGCAGAACGAGAAAAAATCTGTGCGGCGGAGAAGCTCACCCATCTCTTTCCACCATGGTTTTGCAGACGGTCTTGAATGTGTTCGCGAACTCGAGTGACTTAGCCACCTTGCCCACTTTACTCCTATATAAATACAGTGGCACTTGAAGGTCACGAGTTGTACGGAGAGGGAGTCACTGAGATCCAATCGGGATTAGCTACAACTCAAATTCGTTGCGACGTAAACTGTTGGTATTGGAGCTTCCGATTGGATGGCAATGCCCCCCTCTCCTTCCAGCTCGTGTCCTTGAAGTACACTGTGTTAAAATCGGAGCATTTTTTTGAAGGAGAGGAAGATGACAGCGCTCCGTGCGTAGGTGTTCGCGGAGTACTTCAGCGCGCAGTGGCTGGTGGGCCACTACGCGCAGCTGGAGCCGGGCGCCCTGCTCGCGCTGTTCGGCGGCCGCTACGAGGACGTGCGCGGCTTCTTCGACGCGCTGCTGTGCGACGGGATGCTGCTGCACGAGGCCGCGCTCGCCGGCAGCGTCGACGGCCTCAAGGCGGCGCTGCGCCGCGGAGCAAAGGTACGCCCTCCCACGCGCTCGCGGGGGAAACCACCGATGGCTCAAAGCATCGGTTGATGTCACTGCAGTGCCTCTCCTAGGGCTCGAGTCCCCACGGTGGTAGGATCTTCCACACTATCTAGACAGCTAGGTCGAGTTCAGCTGCTGATCGGTAGTTTTCCGTGTTGTTGTTTTTTCGATCGACACGAGGCGAATGCCGATGCAGTACCCTAACAAACGGGCCACGATCCGCGCGCAATCTTCCTTTCCTCTTCCCTGCCTTACCCTCGCCATTCACTTGCACTTACATGCACTACACTAGCTCACATGCCCGGAGATGAGTCGGGAGCTTAGAGCTTGTTCCGGCTGGGGCGATGCCCCACCGGTGGAAGATCCCTGGTTGACGAAAATTCCGCAAGCCGACGTGTAGTCGGCGCCGGATATCTCCATCAAACGAAGGAAGATCACAGCCACCTCACGCCATACAAACATTCACTACCATTACGGGACAACTGACTTTATGTGTTGACGCGCCCGAAAACCTAATCAATCAATCAATCAATCTGTTGATGGCAGTGAGTCGCTCGGGTTCTCTAACCTACAGTTGCTTCTATCAGCTCTGGCAGATAACTCTCGGGAACAGCTGCATCCATGCTCGCATCTGTCACGCAGATGCCACAGTCACAGTCGCATACTTTGCTTTCAAATTACGTCCGTTATGTGTACATCAGACATTGTGCACATAAGACATTTCCTAATTTGAGTACTGTGATGAGAGTTCTTACTTCAGTCCAGGTTTCTCTCCGATGTTTACAGTAAGATTTAAAAACGGTACGTTTGGTCAGAGTCTTCCTACGTTTGGCTCCGGATGTAGAAAAAATAATGTAATAGTGAATTGGAAAAAAGTTTTCGATAGAAAATGGTAAATCAAACTTGCAACAGACATCATCAGAAGCGGTGGGATAATGTCCGGAGACTAAAACTATAAAAGAGGGTAGGCTTCCCAGAGTTCAAGAAAATGTGCACATATTTCACTTCTTTCCCTAGCACGTCACACTGTTTTAACTGTTTTGACATTACATAAATTGAATTAATCTGCATTGCACTATACTACTACAAGTCAGTCTCCTAACCATTAGGAAGAGTCTCTGACCCACGGCTGCTTACAATATCTGCCTCAGATACAGTCGAAACGTCGGGAAGTTGGACTTCAACTTGACCACGGCCTATAATTCCGATAAACAATTTAATTAGAAAATTGTAAGTTTTGTAACTAATCTGCAAATCACCTCAGGCATGCGTTGCTTATTTTATTTTCTAACGGTGTGAGAAACACTTCACGGTGTTTTACGCTCGCTTCGCAATGTATCGCTCACTGTTAGAATGAAACAATTAGCTGGTTTGCACCCGGAAAACAAGCTTGAGAAACCATCTTTTGTGCACGGCGTAATAGTCGTTTTTGGGGTCGTCCCTGATAACAAAAAAGTGGGTTTGTCTTACTTCTGAATGAAATATATTACTTTCTCATGTACATAGTATAGTCAGAATCCACCTTTTGCAAATTCTTGATACTGCACTATGCGACCGCTAGTTCTCAATATCGACCCAAAGTCAGATCTAAAGTATAGAGTTGTCTTGACCGGAGAAATATCGATTATCTAAAAAGTATTTCAAGGGAAGAGGTACAATTCAGTTTGATCCACATACACCCCTCAATATGTTCAAGAATTTTTTGCAA